TTTCCTGGTTTGTAGATGGCCATCTTCTCATTGAATCCGCCTTTGGCAGAGAGCAGAAAGAGCTCTGGTCCATTTGTCTGTTTATAAGGACACCATTTACCTCCCAAAGGCCCCATCTCCTAATACCATCACAAGGGCGGTTAGAATTTCAACATATGAATTTTGGGAATATACACAAACATTCAGTCCCTAATGTCCTACAACTCAATAACAATAATAACCAAACAACCAGATTAAAAAATTGGCAAGAGACTTGAATAGACATTTCTCCAAAGAAGATATACAAATGGCCAGTGAACACATGAAAACATGCTCACCATCACTAGTCATTAGGGGAATGCAAATCACCTCACGCCTGTTAATGTGGCTTTTATTTAAAAAAAAACAAAATAACAAGTGTTGACAAGAATGTGGAATAATTGGAACCCTTGTGCACTGTTGATGGGAATAAAAATGTGCAGCCTTTATGGAAGACAGTATGGTCATTCCTTAAAAATTTAAAAATAGAATTATCATATGACCCAGCAATTCCACACCTGGGTATATCCCCAAAAGAATTGAAAGCAGGGTCTTGAAAAGATTGGTATACTCATGTTTATAGCAGCATTATTCACAAGAGCTGAAATTTGGAAACAACCCAAGTGTCTATCAATAGGTGAGTGGATAAGCAGATGTGGTGTATTCGAATATACAATGGAATATTAGCCTTAAAAAGAAAGGAAATTCTGACATATGCTACAACATAGATGAAGCTTGAGGGTGTTATGCTAAGTGAAATAAGCAACTCATAAAAAGACAAATACTGTGTGATTCTACTAATATGAAGCCCCTAGAGTAATCATATTCATAGAGACAGAAAGTAGAATGGTGGTCACCAGGGGCTGGGGAAGGAGGGAATGGGGAGTTGTTTAACGGGTACAGTGTTTCAGTTTTGCTAAATGAAAAAGTTCTGGAGATGGATGGTGGAGATGGTTGTACAGTGTGGTTGCACTTAACACAACTGTACACTTAAAAATGATTAAAATGGTAAATGTTATGTAATGTGTATTTTACTCCATTAAAAAAAAATCATCCAAAATCTCCTTTTAAATGGTTAACCATTCAGAACTTAAAGCTCCTAGAAAGCAAGATCCTTCTAAGAGGTCATCAGGCACACTTATGCTAAAAGATAGTGGAGTGGCTCCTTCAGTATTCTGAGGGAAAAAGATTTTGGACCTTGAGTGATAGTCTCAGCCAAGGTAACAATCAAACAAACACAAAGTAACAATATTTTAACACGTGAGAAATAAAAATATTTTCTAAACCAATTTACTTGAGAACACATAAATATGGAAAATACTCTATCAAACTGGAAAAAAAATACAAGAAAGAGGGAGGAATGGAATCCAAAAAACAAGAAAACAGTAAAGAGAACTCTAATGACAGCAGTGCACCAAGCCTAGAAAGTAGCCAGTCCTGAGTAGATCAGAATGTCAGAGACCTCTGGGAGTGATGATTTTAAGAAAAAAAAAAAAAAAAGATGATTCCCTGCAACAGCTAATATCATTAAAGAAATGGCTGTATACCAGGAAGAAAAAAGAAAAGCAGTGAGAAACCCCAGGAAAAACAAAAAGTTACACAAGCAAGTATTGGTCCAAGTTGAAGCAAACTAAAACTATGGCATGATTTTGAAAATTGATAGTGTAAGAAAGGGCACTGCATTAAAAATATGTGACTTTTAGGGGCTTATATTTAGTTATACAAAATTATATTCAATTCCTTTATTATGCAGTGAATACATATGTCTAGTCATAATAATGATATTGCCTTTAAAATTTTTTTTATTTTTAGTTTTCAGAATTAACTTATAAACCACCACAAAGACTTAATTGTGGTTGCAGAATATACCTACATACATGTATGTATAAAATAAATTCTGGAGGGCAGAAGTGGTGAAAGGAGAGGTGGAAGCAAACGTGGGGCGCTAGTTTCACCAAGTTTCTTCTTTCTTTCTTAGTAAGAACACAAGAAATATTCTCTAAATTTAATGCCATAAAAACTGTTCCATTTTTTTAAAGTTAGACAAAGGTAGCTAACTGAATATAACCATTGAAATTGGGAGAAAGTGTAGGGAGGGTTATTTGTAGGCAACAATCCTTCAAAATTTGGGGGTAAAAATTCGTGAGATAAAATCCACATCTGTTGTAGCAGTAATTCATAAGTAATGTGTAATGTTGACATATCAAGAAATAAAGATGTATGCATAATTTTTAGAGTATTTAAGTTAACTAACCACTCTGGTTCACTAAACCATAGAAGCTGAAACCAGTGTCTGTTTAAGATAGTTGCCTCTGGGAAGTGGGGTTAGAAGAGGATGCAGAAGGACACACAGGATATTTGCTTCTCTTTTTAAACCCTTGGCTTCTGTTAAACACCTTTTTTTCCCTAGCAGGCATGCATTATTCTGCTTCTCAAAACTTGTAAAATGACTGCATGATTGGCTGTTATGGATAGGATAGCTCATAGAAGCTTAAAATATTTAACCCTTCTTTGTGTTGTGGAGCATTTAGGATACGTCCCATTTGTGTTATTTTATATGATGTTCTTAAAAGCAGCCTTATATATAAATAAATCTTCATGCATATTTCTGGATCAAACCAACCTGTGTATAAGCTTTTATGCCTATTTTTGAATTATCTCCTGAGGAGTGAATCCTGGATATGAAATCACTAGGTTAAAGGGGTGAACATTTTAAAGCCCCTTGTTATGGACACAGACATTTTTTCCCTTTCATTTTTGAGTATAGACATTTTGGTGAGAGCACTCCAAAGGATGAAAGTATCATAAAAATCTTAGTCTCTTTTAGTCCAGGCCTGTTTTCGAGGTCACGTTCTGTAGAAATGACTGGGTAACGGTCAGCACGTAGCATCTCCCTTTCTGTACCAGTGGAGTGGCCTTGGGTCACCCAACCCACAAAGGAAGGCAGGGCCAGAATCACTTACATTTAGTCAGTGAGTGCCACGGGTTAGGCCCTCTTCTAGTGACTTCATTGGACTGTGTTCATGTCTCATGTTTAATCCTCAGTACAACCTTTGGAAGGCTCTTGTCTCTGCCTTACAAGGGAAGAGCAAAGGCAAGGAGAGATGAAGTGATTTTCCCCAATGCCACACGGCCAGTAAGTAGCAGAGATGGGTCCCACACTCAGTGGTCTGAGTCTAGAGCCCAAACTTCACTCTCTGTGCTGTTACAGGCCCTTATCTGTGAGAAGCAAGTAGGCTGGGTCAGCCCCGGTCAGTGTCCACAGGAAGAGTGTAATCACGTGAGGGGAGACCGCATCAGCATCTTCTTAGCTTCTAGCATATTGCCTGGTACACAGTGGACACCCAGTACCTATTTGTCGACTAAATAGATAAGCCAAACTTTACACCAAACTCCTCTGCATTATTATTTTGTTTAATCTTCATGCTGTGAGGTATTTTTATCCCCATGTTACAGATGAGAGAACTGAGGTTTCCAGAGGTCAAGTCACTTGCCCAAAGGATAGAGCTGTTTCGATAGAGGAGGCATTGTAATTCAGGCCTGTAGGATTTTTTTTTTTTTTTTTTTTTGGCTGTGTTGGGTCTTCATTGCTGCACGCGGGCTCTCTCTAGTTGCAGCGAGCGGAGGCTACTCTTCGTTGCGGTGTGCGGGCTTCTCATTGCGGTGGCTTCTCTCTTGTTGCAGAGCACGGGCTCTAGGCTGCTGGCTAGAGTAGTTGTGGCACGTGGGCGCAGTAGTTGTGGCTCGCGGGCTCTAGAGTGCAGGCTCAGTAGTTGTGGCGCACGGGCTCAGTTGCTCCGCGGCATGTGGGATCTTCCCGGACCGGGGCTCGAACCCTTGTCGCCTGCATTGGCAGGCAGATTCCTATCCACTGCGCCACCAGGGATGCCCCAGGCCTGTAGGATTTGAAACCAGAGCTGTTTTTATTTTGCTCAGAGTGTCTTTGGGAGAATTCAAGAAGTTAATTCTTGTGAAACCCTTAGCCTAGGGGTTCTCAAAGGGTGGGAGCTTCCCCTGGGAGCTTGCTAGAAATGGCTCTTCTCGGTTCCTGCCCCAGGTCTAGTGACTCAGAATCCCCGAGGGAGGGGCCCAGCAATTGGTTTGCACAGACCCTGCAGGTGATTCTGATGTGAGCTCCCACGTAGGAGCACAGCCTTAGCCCCAAGCCTGCCGCATGCTGAGTGCTTAGGAAGATGGCAGCTGCTGCTGTCTTTGGCATCACGTTCTAGATCCCAAAGAAATGGTGGAGGGAGGGGAGGAATGGCGGGTGTCTAGAACTTACTGCTTCTCACAGTTGTTATTTGGTGCCAGCCCCTTCTGGCCCATCAGTGGACTCACACTGGTCCCAGGATGTCGCTGACTGGAGCCCGGAGGAAGCCTTCGAGGAGGGAGAAGTACACTGGGCACATTAAGTGAAGCTCACGTGAACTCTCGAGCTCCCCCTGGCGGGTCATTTACTGGCCTGCCTCCTGCTGTGTGATGCCTCCCCAGCCACGTGCATCCTCCAGGGTGATCCTGAAGTCCAGAGTGGGCTGCACCCCTAATGGGATGTGTTCCCAGGGCGGGGGGAGTGGACAGCTCTGAGGGAAGTTGAGGGCACCCTGGATTCTTCCTCTGCCCTCTGCAAAATTCTGCCCCACTCGAAACATTTCACAGATCCTTAGTGCTGCCTTAGGTTTGTTACATATTTGATTTGAGAATTTAACATTCCTGAGCACCTGTGATGTGCCAGGCTTGGGGTGGTTGGTCCTACTGTGTGCAAGCCTCCATGCTCAGCTCCTTGAAGTGCTTGCCCCATTTAACTTGGTCCCGGAGAGGTCCAGCAATGGTCTCAAGGCAACCAGCTAACAGGTGGCGGAGCTCGGTCTAAACCCAGGTCGGTTTCACTAACGCTGTGCTTGTTCTGCTTTAACGCAGTTGTAAATTGACTTGAAAAATGTAAAGTGTGGCCACAAACAAATCTCTCTCTCTTATCCCCATAGGTTCTACCAAACCACGGACTCCACGCAGCAGGGTTCTTCGTGGCCTTCATCCTCTCCCTGGTGCTGACCTGGGCTGTGCTTTTCTTCATGGTTCGATATCAGTGTTTGAAGGGAAGCATGCTTACCAGACATCAGGTGGGAGTCCATGTGCATCCTCTCCCTGGAGGGTAGTTGGTTGGTGGTAGATGTGAGGTTGAAGTTTATCCTTCAGTTCAGTCAGTCTCAACTCTGTATCGATGTCGGGACCCCCAGGGAACCGTGAGGCATGCTCATACCCAGGCCCTCCTGCACAGACTCTGACTGCTTTGTCCCGGTAGCCATGCCCAATCATTAGTAGTTTTTAAAAGCTCCCTGGATGATTCTAACAAACGACCAGCATTGGGAACCCCTGCAGCCTGAATGAATAACTGAGTGCCCACCTGTATGGCCAGCTGTGCATTCATGCCACACCCTGACTCAGGTCCTGGTCTACACTTCCCTCTGAAAAGTCTTTGAAGACTTACTTTGTTTGACCTCAGGGTGAAGCCCGGATGCCTTAGCATGGCTTATAAAGAAAGTCCCCTGTGGTCCAGCTTCACACCTCAACTTCCGGCTCTACCCAATGACTGCTGAGCTCTCCACACTCACCTGGATGCTTTTATAATCCTCTCTCCGCTCTTCGATGAGCAGAACTCTGACGCATCCTTTAAGACTCATCTCGGGCCTTGCCTCTCCTTGGAAGTCATCCCTGGCCACTTCCTGCCTAAGTTGGGGACTCTCTCTCTGGGTTCCTGCACTAGCTTTTGGACCCCACCCAGCATTTATCCCCACCTGTGAACTCCTCAATCTCTGTTTTCCTGTCTTGGCCTGGGTTCCCACAGAAGCACATCCTGAGACTAGGACCCAAATGCAAACAGTTTATATGGGAAGTGATCCCAGGAAGTAATGGTAGGAGGTGGGGAAGTGAGGCGGGAAGGGAAGGCAGTCAGTCAAGCTTCCACTGTGGGCACCTGGGGCTTTATCCCACCCAGGATAAAGTCTGAGGGGAGAAGGAGCCAGGGTATTTAGCCATCAAATCCCATTGGTCGTTGGTTGACGACAAGGGGGTGAGGGGGCCAGGACAAAGGGTAACGTTATTTCCCTGGCATAGGCTCTGAAAGCCAGCAGGAGCCTTCAGGGGAGGAAGCAGCATAGGTGTTGGCCGGTGGATCTTGGGCTAAAAGGCACTGAACGGCAAGGGCGAGGGGACATGGATGAAGCATGGATGCTGGCTGCTGTAATCCCCGTTGCCTGGTACAGAGCCTGGCGCTTAGAAGGCACCCAGTAAACGTGTGAAGGAATGAATGAGCCCCCAGCCAGAGGATGGGCAGACAGAGGAAGGAAAGCAGGGTGCAGTCCTAGGGTGAGAAGGCACTGCTGGGACTGAGCACCCTGGTAGGTTGTTTGTTCCTTCAGGGCCATGCAGGCTGCAGCTGCTGTGACTTGGTCACCCAGAGGCCCAGCAACTTGAAAGGAACATCGCTCATCTTTCTCCCTCACTGCACAGTGAGGAAACTGAGGCCCGTGAAGCTCAACAGCCTGCTTCACGTGGCCGAGTGGAGGCTGGACCTGGCTTCCGAGGACCACCCTGCCGCCCTCTCTGGAGGCTGGCAGTCCTGTGCCATTGTTCATTTTGTTTCTGCTTCCTGGAGAAGAGAGTTGTTATTTCAAAGTGAGGTCAGCCCACAGTCTCCTTGGCAGGCAGAAGTGAGGAAAAGAAAAATGGCCCATCTAATAAGACATTCTACTTACTCTCCCGAAGCTGTTATCAATCACAGAGCAGAACTCACCCTGCTACTTCGATGAAGGAGCAGGATTCATTTCTTGGAGATTAAAGGCTGATTGTTACAACCGCGGGAGGAAAGCACAGTGTGAATTTGACTTAAGGTCTGAAGCCTCTTATAGAATTTTTTTTTTTCCCGGCATCACAGAACGAACTCTCTTCACATTAAAAATTTTTTTTCCATCGTGGTAGTGACCAAGGAGACAACATGCTGTAAACAGAAGGCAGCCTTTAGAGTTAGATAGACTTTGGGTCAAAAACCAAGCAGGCTCTTTATGAGCTGTGTGAACTCAGATAATGTCATTTCATCTCTCTGAGCTGCAGTTCCATATACGTATAAGTGGGGGCATCAATGCTGACTTTGTGTGACGGTTTCATGGTATGACACATACAAGGCACAGGGACAGGAATTCTTAAATGTTAGTTATAATTATCATGCATTTCTGCAGAAATAATGCAAAACAGATATATCATCTACCCAATCGGAGGATTGAGCTTAATTATCTCTGATGTCACTTCCGTGTGACAACTCTATAGTCTGATTAGAAACCAGCCAGATCCATGATGTTGAAGTCCATCTGCCAACTGTAATTTTCCTCTGCATGACGTTGATGATGGTGGTGATGGTGATGATGGTGGTGATGGTGATGGTGGTGATGATGGTGGTGATGGTGATGGTGAAATATTTTTATTACATCTTTATAGTTATAAAGGTCTTTCCATCCATTGCTCTGCTTTATCCACACAACAAGCCTGTGCAGGGCTACCAGAATTATTATCCCACTTCTTTGATGAGAAAATGAGGCTCAAGGAAGTGCAATGTCTTGCCTGAGTCTTACCAGCTCACAAGTGGGTGGGGCCAGCTAGGTTCTCTGACTGCAGATCCCCACCTACCCTCATGACTTTTCCAGCTTGTGACGTTCACAAGAAGGCCTACTCAATTGTGGTTTCTGAAATTCTCCTGAAGGTTCAGCATCACGAGAGCAAGCTGGAGCGCTCCCAGTTCACCTCAGCTGATGGTATGAATGAAGATCTCGCGCTAAATGACCAAATGATAGACATTCTGTCTTCAGAGGACCCCGGGAGCATGCTTCAAGCCTTAGAAGAGTAAGAATTCTAAGTCACATTATACTTCCATGGATATGATGAATGTTTTACCTATAGCAGCATGAGAGCAAACACTGAGTGTATTTCATTCATTAATTCATCCTATTAATCATTAATTTGTCATTCAGTAGTCATAATCGAACAACTGCCGTGCCCTGAACACTATGCTTGGTATTTGAGAAAAGAGATAAGACATAGGTTGAGCTGTGAGGCAGTCTGACCTAGTGGGAAGACAAACACAGAAACAGAAGTGACCGTAAAAGCTTGATGAGTACCGTGCTAAGATCGGGGCTAGCTGAGCCCAGGAGAAAAAGTAATTACCTCTGAGTGGGTCATGGAGATGCTTCCCTGAGGAAGAGATATTTTAACTAATTCTTGAAGCACGGGCAGAAGTTTTTCAAGTAGATGAAGGGAGGAGAGGCTTTTCAGGCAGAGGAAAGACAGGACAGATGCCAAGATAGGAAGTGACCAAGATATGTACATTTGGTGAAGTGTAAGGAGCTCAGTATGATTGATGTGTGGATTGGAGTACTGAGTAGTGTATTGAAGGAGAGGAAGTAACACCTTGAGAGAGAGGCCAGACCAGGTGATGTGATTGTTGGCTAAACTGAATTCAGTTCTTTTTATTTCTTATTTTATTTTAAATTTTTGTCTATTTATCTATCTATAATTTACTTTTAAGGACAGGACCTGAATATCTTTATTTTATTTTATTACTTATTGAGGTAATGCTGGTTTATAACATTATATATTTCACGTGTACAACATTAAATATTTCTACTTCTGTATACCCTGCAGTATGTTCACCACCAAAAATTTAGTCTTCATCCATCACCATACAGTTGATCCCCTTTACCCATTTTGCCCTCCCCCACCATTCCTCTGTGGTAACCACTATTCTTATCTCTGTGTATACATGTTTGATTTTGTTCGTGTTTTTGTTTGTTTATTTTCTATATTCCACATATGACTGAAATCATATGATATTTTCTTTCTCCACCTGACTTATTTCACTTACATAATACCCTCAAGGTCCATCTATGTTGTTGCAAATGGCAAGATTTCATCTTTTTATGGCTGAGTAATATTCCATACACATATCACATCTTTATCCATTCATCTGTTAATGGGCACTTAGGTTGCTTCCATATTTTGGCAATTGTAGTGATGCAGTGAGCATAGGAGTGAATGTATTTTTTTCAAATTAATGTTTTCATATTCTTTGGATAAATACCCAGAAGTGGGATAGCTGGATTATATAGTGGTTCTGTTCTTATTTTTTTTGAGGAATCTCGATACTGTTTTCCATAATGGCTGCACCAATTTACATTCCCACCAACACTTGTTATTTCTTGCCTTTTTGATAATAGTCATTCCAACATGTGTGAGGTGATATCGCATTGTGGTTTTAATTTGCATTTCCCTAATAATTCGTGCTATTGTTTTCATGTGCCTGTTGGCCATCTGTATGTCTTCTTTGAAAAAATGTCTATTCAGCTCCACCCATTTTTCAATTGGGTTGTTTTGTTGTTGAGTTGTATCTGTTCTTTATATATTTTGGGCATTACTACTTATCAGATATATTGTTTACAAATATCTTCCATCCGGTAGGTTGTTTTTCGGTTTTGCTGATAGTTTCGTTTCCTTTGCTGTGCAGAATCTTTTTAGTTTGATGTAGTTCCATTTGTTTATTTTTGCTTTAGATTCCTTTGCCTGAGGAGACATATCTGGAAAGATATTGTTAAGACCCATGACCAAGAGCATACCACCTATGTTTTCTTCTAGGAGTTTTATGGTTTTAGGTTTTACATTTAAGTCTTCAATCCATTTTGAATTGACTTTGGTGTATGATATGAGATAGTGATCTAGTTTCATTTTTTTTTTTGCATGTGGTTGTCCAGCTTTCCCAACACCATTTATTGAAGAGACTGTCCTTTATCCATTGTATGTTCTTTGCTCCTTTGTTGTAAATTAATTGTCCATATATTCATGGGTTTATTTCTGGGCTCTCAATTCTGTTTCATTGATCTATATATCTGTTTTTGTGCCAGTACCACACCATTTTGATTACTATGGCTTTGTAATATAGTTTGAAATCAGGGCTTGTGATACCTCCAGCTTTGTTCTTTTTTCTCAGGATTGCTTTGGCTATTCAGGGTCTTTTGTGGTTCCACATAAATTTTAGAATTTTTGTTCTATTTCTGTGAAAAATGTCCTTGAGATTTTGATAGAGATTGCATTGAATCTGTAGATTACCTTAGGTAATATGGATGCTTTAACAATGTCATTCTTCCAATCCACTAGCATGGAATATCTTTCCATTTATTTGTGCCTCCTTCAGTTTCTTTCAACAGTGTTTTATAAGTTTCAGTGTACATATTTTCACTTCTTTGGTTAAATTTATTCTTAGTTATTTTATATTTTTTGCTGTGATTGTAAATGGGACTTTTTTTCTTAATTTCTCTTTCTGGTAGCTCATTGTTAGCATATAGAAATGCAACAGATGTTTGTATGTTGATTTTGTACCCTGCAATTTTATGTGTTTGTTTATTATTTCTTTTAGTTTTTTTGGTGGAGTCTTCAGGGTTTTCTATGTATAAAATTAGGTCATCTGCAAATAGTGACAGCTTTACTTCTTTCTTTCCAATTTGGATAACTTTAGTTTTTTTCTTCCCTAATTATTCTGGCTAGGACTTCCAATACTGTGTGAAATAATTTCTCCCTTTAGGTCTGTTAATAACTGTTTTATATATTTTGGTGCTCCTATGTTTGGTGCATATACATTAACAACTGTTATGTCTTCTTAGTGAATTTTCCCCTTTATAATTATATACTGTTCATTTTTGTCTCTTGTTACCTTTTGGGCTTGAAGTCTATTTTGTCTGATATGAGTATGGCTACACCCCCTTTTTTGGCTGTCATTTGCTTGAAGTATCATCTTCCATCCCTTCACTTTGAACATGTGTTTGTCTTTAGAGCTGAGATGGGTCTCCTGGAGGTAGCATGTAGTTGGGTCTTGTCTTTTAATCCATCCAACCACTCCATGTCTTTTGATGGGTGAATTCAGTCCATTTACATTTAAGGTTATTATTGATAGATGAGGACTTAGTACTGCCATTTTATCTTTTGTTTCTGGTTGCTCTGTCTCTCCACCGTTTTCTTTCCCCCTGTGTTTCTGTCTGCCATTTTGATTTGGTGGTTTTCTCTGATGTTTTTCTCAGTTTCCTCTTTTTATGTTTCGTGTCTCTGCCCTAGATTTATCTTTTGTGGTTTGTGTAATACTTTTCATAGATAAAATAGCCCTTTTTATGCTGATGGCATCTTATCTTCGTTCAACTCTATGGGTTCCATCTTTTTCCTCTTCCCCTTTTATGTTTTTGTTTTCTCAAATTATCCATTTTTATGTTGTGAGTTACCAAATTGAAGTAGTTATCATTACTTTTTCTGCTTTTTCCCCCTCCTTTAACCTTTATGCTATGATAAAGTATTTTAAAACCTATTCTGGGAAGGAGTAACAATTTTCTGATTCTGTTTATCACCTTACTCAAACTTTGGGGTACTTTGCCTTTTTGTTTCTGATCAAAGGGCTCCTTTCAACATTTCTTGTAAGACAGGTCTAGTGGTGATGAACTCCCTCAGCTGTTGTTGTCTGGGAAAACCTTTATTTCTCCTTCATATCTGAATGATAACTTTGCTGGATAGAATATTATTGGGTGGCAGTCTTTATCTTTCAGTATTTTGAGAATGTCATTCTGCTCCCTCCTGGCCTATAAAGCTTCTGTGGAGAAATCTGGTGATAACCTAATGGTGATTCCTTTGTAGGAACCTTTTTCTCTGGCTGCCTTTAAAATTCTTTGCTTGTCATTGACTTTTGACAATTTTAGTATAGTGTGTCTTGGAGAGGGTCTTTTTGCCTTGAAGTAATTAGGTGTTCTCTTAGCTTCATAGACTTGTTTATCCAGTTCCTTTTCCAGCTTTGTGAATTCTCAGTTATCATTTCTTTAAATAAACTCTCTGTTCTTTTCTCCCTCTCTTCCCTGGAATACTCATTACCTTAATGTTACCCTTCCTAAATGAGTTGAATAGCTCTCATAGAATTTCCCTGTCTTTTAACATCTTATTTCTCTGTCCTCTTCTACTTGTATCTTTCTAGATTTCTATTTTTGAGCTCACTAATTCTCTCCTCCATATGGGCTGCTCTATTTCCAAAACTTTCTAATGCATTATTTACCTTGTTTATGAGTTCTTCAGCTCTAGAATTTCTGTTTGATTCTTGTTTTGAGTTTCAATTTCTTTGGTAAAGCATTCCTTCTATTCATTAATTTTATTTCTCAGCCCATTGAGCTGCTTTTCTGAGTTTTCTTATAGCTCACTGAGTTTCTTCATGACAGGTATTTTGAATTCTTTATATGTTAGATCCCAGTATTCCGTGACTTTAAGTTTGGTTTCTGGAGATTGTCATTTCCTTTTTGTGGTGCAGTGTTACTGTGGTTCTTCATGGTGCTTGATGAGTTGTTCCTCTGCCAGTGCATTTGAAGTAGCAAACACCTTTGTGCTTGATTCTGAGCTGCCTCTAGTTAGATCTGAGAGTTGGCACTTTTCATCCTCCACTGCCTCTGTCAGAGGTGTGGCTCCATGTCTTCCTTATCATTTCTTGTGTCTCCGGGTTCATTGGTGCCTTGCTGTTGCCACTGTCACTGGCATTGCCACCTGGGGCACCAGGATGAAAGGTTTTTCTGCCGCGTCTGGGAATCCTTGAGTTGCAGGCTCTGCCACCACAAGGGGTAGTGGAGGGGAGCTGGATTCACACAGGCACCTCTGCCTTGTCCAGTGTTGCACAGTTCATGAGCTCTGCTGCTGGGGGTTAGGGGGTTGAGGGGTCAGAGTCATGGGTACCTCAGTGGCTGGAGGGACGGGGTCCCAGACCCCACTGCCACTGCTGCCCACTTACCTATGGCCATGGGCACTGCTGCGGCCAGGATGTCAGTCTTGTGTGCTGC